AATAGCTCCTATCTTATACGCCATTACAAGTCTATTATTATTAACGTGCACGATCGAGGAGGAATCGATACTTAACGAGAATGCCGATACTCGGTACGTCGGTTTAACGCAATTGCACAATTCGCGAGGCGCATTATGCAGCGTACGTTCGTGCTCGCGAGAACGATCATAATCGGAGTGCGTCGTTTCGAAACGCGGCCGATGGCTTTTATGGTTTATCGGTAAATCGAGCTGGTTGACAATGACGGTCGAGCGCTAATGGCTCACGCTAAAATAGGAAAACGATCGAACCCCGTTGAAAATCGTGAATCGAACGTCGATCTATGTTTCTTCATTCTGGATCTTTTTCCTACTTTTATCTTTCTTTTTTTGTTTTTTTTTTTTTTTTTTTTTTTTTCTATTCGTTCATTCGAAAATTCTTCGTCGATTTCATTTAAAATCATTTTTTTTTTCTTTTTTCTCACGCGACGACATTTGCCATTGATAATTTAATTATGTTGGTAGAAAAAAAAAACAAAATTACTTCGATTCATTATACAGAAATCGTGTATCCCATTAAAAGTAGAAGTAAGTAATACGTTTCGTTATTTTCCTTAATTCTTCTCTCTTTCTCGCACGCATATCACGCATACACACGCATACACATCCACACACACACACAAATTTGAATTCACTTTTAATCGCTCTCTATACATCATTGCCCCACGGTCCTGTCGCGTGTTACATGCGTGATGCATTCCAATTGAATACTCCCACACGTATACGCAAGGATGCATGTATTTTACTTACATCCGCCAAATATATCATGTATTATGTGTATACGATATTAACATATATTCTATATACTGTATGTATGTATATATTTATATTTATATGTATTTATTTATATATATATATTTACACTCATACGTAGTTATCAGATACGTACGTACATTAATACGTTCTTTTTCGAAATTTTTTCCTTTTTTTTCTTTTTCTTTCTTTCTTTTTTAATTATCGAGAGGAGGGTGGGTTTGGGTATGATAAAATACAGGAGAGAAAAGATAGAAAAGTTATACAAGTAACCCGATTGATTTTGTTCTCCTCTTTTTCTCTCGGATCATTTCGAAAAATCTTGTCGTTCTATCATGGATATAGGACGAAGAATGACGAGGGATTTATATATGTATATATGTATTTGCGCGTGTGTGTTCGTGTGTGTGTTCGTGTGTGTATAAATATACACGCCGGAGTATATACGTATCGTTTGAAGCGAATAGGAGGATGCTATAGGTGGGGGTAGGAAAAAGAGGGAAAATGGTGATGCAAGTCTACGATGATTCGATAAAAAGGTTCGATTGCTCGTCGAGGGATGATTGTCCCTTGATTGAAAACATCCTCGATTCTGGTTGGAGGGTACGCAAAGGAGAAGCAAAGGGAGAACTTATCCCGTACATTTCGTCCCCATATGCCAGAGGATCGCTACGTATGTACGTATTACAGCTTTCCTCGTTTTTAATCTATCGATTATGGACTACCGTACGTAGGGGGCACGCTCTTACAATTGTTAAGGGTGCCTCGTTGATATCGTATTTGTACGTAGTAGACACGCATGTTAGGGGATGAAAGAAAGGGGAGAGAAGAGGGTGACTTGTAGGGATAACTTTTCGACGGGAGAATGTGACGATTATTTTAGGACCTTATTTTATTTCTTTTTTTCCTATTTTCCTATTTTCTTTTTGGATAAGAAAAGCAAGCGAGAACTGATTGTAATGGGATTTCTCTCGATCATTCATTTTTTTTTCTCCTAAAGGTTGAATCGTATGACAGGTATATCAAATTATTATAGGCCCATGAATCTTTGATAAATGATTCAAAGATATGTTGGCAGTAAGTACACAGTTTCACTTGTTTCAATTTGGGTGTGACTGTGTTTCTTTATACATCATATTATATGATTTATACGAGAAGAAAATATATAAAACATTTGAGAACTGTGTGCAATATAATATAGTATTGAATTTATTGTTGTTAAACCTAGTTAATTTTATTCGTGGATCTTAATGAGTTTGATATTCCTGTTTATAATATGATATTAGGGTACGAAAAGATTGTCGTTATTTAGTTTCGGATAAAAATGATTTAATCATTTGTGGCCTATATAAAAAAAGGCGTTATTTCATGATGATGATTATACGAATTATGATTCCTCTTTTACGAAACTCTTTAATTCATGTGAGAATATCAATTTGTAATAACATTTTCTTTTTCAAAATTTGTATCGATTTATATTAGCATACTTCTGTTATATCGAGAAGCTTTATTTAGAAAATATAAAAAAAGTATAAGATATAAGAGCGTCATAAAAAGACCATTAGATGTATTGTCTGTGAGGATGACGGAAACTCTGTCTGATATTTGAATTTAACGCGGCCGTCACGTGGCTCAATCTTGATTGAACGTTGATGAAAGAAACGTTCAACGTGATCGAGTTTCGTTTCCGCGAACTTCGATTCGATTTATAAGCACTTTTCACGATTCATTCGTCCGCGAGTGTCACGAACGGTGAGTTTTAAAGGTTCCCAGAAGAGTATTGCGGCTTCGTACGAGGAAGGAGATCACCAAGAATGAGCAGCATAATCCACCAACGTACGGTAGTAATAAATCGCGAGGGAGTACTCGTACGGACATGGAAGTAATCCGATAATCCCATTAGACGAGGTCCCATAAAATCGTTAACGCAGACAAGTCCGATTACGTAAGCCGTGCTTCATTCGTAACCGTTGTCGGGACTGGTTTCGCGTGGTTATATCCGCACTGCGGATAATTCTTTGATTGCCTTTCCGATCTAAATTTACGTGAACGAAACGAAACGAACGAACGAACGAACGAACGAACCAACGTGCATACAAAATATCCAACAATTATTTAAATTTATACTCGCATTATCGCGAATAATAAAATGCGTCGGTGCATTTCGCGCCGCGTAGATACATTTTTGTAGCCTACAACTTTTTCGTTGCTAAAATCGCAAGCGGATTTTAGGATTGTCATTTGGTTTGATCAAGAATTAAGATATCCTTTTCTTTCTTCTTTACGCTACGTCTTCATTACGATTAATATTTTATTTCGATTAATCATTAAAAATCACGATCCCAATATTATATTCAAGATCGAAAAGATTTCTAACGGATAATAATAATAATAATAAAAATAATAATAATGATAATAATCTTAATGATTTTCGAATCGCGTAATTACCCGTTGCGTTTAATCGAATAACGATAAATAAACGAGTTTCTTTGGGAGTAAGGTAAACGAATTATCCCTGTTCGTTGAATTAAACGACTCGGTTATACGCAGCGTTAAAAATGGGTGTAAGAGAGAGGTAGATAAAGGAAGCGAGAGAGAGAAAGAGAGAGAGAGAGAGAGAGAGAGAGAGAAAGAGACAAAGTGGGTGGGTGGGTGAAAGGGTTGCTTCTGTTTCTCATTAGCGACTCCATTAGCGGAATGTCTGCGCGCGCGCACGATATTAGGGCCCAATGTAAATTGGTAGCATTAAACGCATCAGGCGATTGCATCAATCTCATTAAGCGGGGCGCGCATAATGTTTCATGAGAGTGCAGCCGACGCGAATTGAGGTGGTCGGTTAGTAACGATGTTTGTGGATGCTCTGGAAAATTATCGAATTTCTCGGTGCTGTTTGCACCAAGCAAATCGAAAACAACGAAGAGCGTTCGAAGCGGAACGCGTTCGTTCGGCCTGAGACCACCGGAACTGCGTCGGGTTCTGCCAATCACGTATGTATATGTGTGCGTATGTATGACTAATATTTTTGATATACGTTATATATGTATTTTTTTTTGGATCGAGCATTCGTACATTAAACGCGATCGATCCGAATGCGCATCCCTTGAAAAATCATGAAAAACGCTTAAGAGATAACGCGTTTGTGAGAGTTGATTTTAAAATGAATTTTATAGATATAAATTGATTAGAGGTAAATTCTCGTAAAATATAAATCACCATGAGAGAATGTTGGCGAGTTAATCGATTCGATAGATTACGCTTTCCAATTCCTTTGTATACATTCCAGGTTTTTTTTTTCTTAATCGTGCTACAGATCGATCTAGCGATCCGTGAACGATGGTAATTATTCGTGATTAGGGTTATATAAGCAATTTCGACCGCGGGGCAGCCACGTCTGATTGTTCTCACAATGAGCTTATTATCCCTACGAAGCTATGAGACGTTCTTATCGGCTAAAGATTTCTCTTTTAAATTTATCTTTTATGCAATACTCTTTAAATACGCTGCACCGCATTTTATTTTTATTTTGAAATTTTTCTTTTAATTTTGGTACGAGATACGGCATTTCTACGGCATTGCTGCTAATTGTTACTAAAAATCACTAACGCCTAATTCACTAACCTACCTGTTTTGTGAAAAATTAATTAGGTGCCTCGCTAGCTGAACTGATGAACCATCGAGGTCTTTTCTTTCATCTTCTGTCAAAACAACTAAACAGCTTTTATTCGCCATGTGTACCGAGATACTTTAGAAGATCAAAAAATGAATCTTAATTGATTCCCAGATTTTTTTCATTCGAGATTGAAAACCACAAAATTGAGTGATTATGGATCAGAAACCATCGTCGTTTTGATTCACCTTCTCCGTTCTTTGTTTAATAGATTATTCGTTAAAAATCTTCGATTGATGTCAAAGCAATGGGTGAAAATAATGGACAAATTTTAAGATGATAAATTCGTTGCAACGAAGATCGAAAGGGAAGCGTTAAATAAATAAGATGTTAACATATAAAGAAGATAAATCGCGAGTATTAATTAGTAACGAGTTAACGATGGTTTCCGTTTACGTAATTAATTAATGATAAATCGACGAAAATTGTAATAGTATACAAACTACAATAACGCGATTGAAAAAGTGGTAAAATAGCGATTGGCTTATTTTCTTTTTTTCTTTCACAATGTGTCATCCCAAATTTCTCTATTTTTCTTTCCTTTTTTTTTTTTTTTCTTTCTCACATAAAATTACATACACACATCATACGTAACTCACGTTTTCTTTTATCCTCTCTTCATTGTCAAGTGTTCTCATTGCACGTCTCCTCTTCTCGTTTATCCTCTCGTCACTCGGTTTGGGTTAATTATTACAAAGATGGTTGTACAATAATATAATATATAGACTCTGTATTAGTTACAATAATATCGTACGCATACGCCCCCGTTTCTAGCGTTGCCGTCTCCTTCGAAGCCTTTTTTCATTTTGCGAAAAAGATTCCATCCTAATTCAAAGAGAAAATCGGTATACAATAGATATATAATCATCTCTCTTTCCCTCTCTCCCACTTTCTCCCTCTCTCTCTCTCTCTCTCTCTCTCTCTCTCTCTCTCTCTCCCCTTTCTTTCTCGATTAATATATCTATGACGGTCGAGTTAGCTCTCGTAAATACAATTTTAATTCTTCTTTCCACTAATCACCTCATTATTTTTATTTTATTTTGTTTTACTTTTTTTTCTCTTCCTTTCTTTCTTTTTTTTTTTATTTTATTTTTTTTTTATCGTTCGTTTAATCATTGCGCCTTTTTTTATTGCTTATTTCTTACGCTAAAAAACAAACCAAAAATACAAGGGAGAGACCTCGGTGCTTTTGCAACGAAAACGCGAAATTTACTTTCCCTCGCGGCCATTCAATTTTTGACCCTATATTTCTCTTGACGAGAAAACATAGAAATGAAATAGGTTCGCGATCGCATCGCATCGCATCGCATCGAGGTCGAATCGAAAGGATATCAGAGAAAAAGAGTTGAGAAGAGATTCGTAACGCGCGAATTAGAGATGTAAGAATAAATTCTTCTCTATTCTTTGTCTATACATCGTTTTATTTCTCTCTCTCTCTCTCTCTCTCTCTCTCTCTCTCTCTCTCTCTCTCTCTCTCTCTTCTTATTTTAGGCGAACTGGTATTGGAAAGAAAAAAAAATAGTCGATCACAGTTATATACGACGATATTTAAATGTGCAGCGAAGTATAAAATTTTTCACATTTTCTTCCCTCCTTACCACATCACTTTGGTACTTTTCTACTTTTCGCTGTTGTCTCTTTTTCTTTTTCTTTCTCCCTGTCCCCTCGAGCCGTTCGTATCTCTTCTCTCTCATTCTCTCTCTCTCTCTCTCATTCTCTCTCTCTCACTCGCACTCTCACTCTTTCTCACTCTCACTCTTCCTCTCTTTCTCTTTCTATTTTTCTATCTTCCTTTCACTCCCCTCTTTCATTCTGTTAGTCGCATAAAATAGTCATTTTCCTATATGTATAAATCGAGTTGGTTGTATTGCGTTGAATCACTTGTTCTCCCATAGTCCTTGATTTAATATTCTCTTTATACAGGCATAAATTTGAAAATTATCCTTGGCGTACGAGCATTCGCCGGTTATGTTTCGTTCGTCATTCGTTCGATCGTCGTTCAATCGCGTCGTTGGGCGATTTACTCTTGAATTCGTTTCCACCACCACCAGCAGCAATATATGTACATATATAGGACACACATAACGCAGAAACATACACACGACACGAAAGGTCGCGGAATTTGATTTCGTGCCGATATATGCTCTCTCGATTCTCCATCGGTTTTGGCGGGGTCTTCTTTTGACATCCTTTTTACTATAGGCAACCCATGGATGGATAAATATATTTCCTGATATACATATATACATATATATTTTCATTTGATATATATACACATATATGTATGTATGTATATACATATAATTATAAATTAAAGACGCCTATGTCGCCTGAAGTGGGTTTCTATATAAAAGATGGAGAAGTTTGGGCGAGCACTGTGATTTCAGGAGGGAAACGTTTGCAGAGTAAATTGCCCGGCGTCGTCTCTACCTTTATCAAGGATAGTCTCTCTCTCTCTCTCTCTCTTTCTTTCTCTCTCTCTCTCTCTTTGTCTGTCTCTGTCTCTACGTAGTTCCTACCTTAGAAGATAACGAGCCCGCCTCGTCGCTTGGCTTACTAGCTAGAACGAGATTACCGCGCTTATATTTCGTTTCACGATCGGTCCCTCATTCGCTTTCGCTTTCTCTCTCTCTCTCTCTCTCTCCTTTTATTGCCCTTTTCTTTATTTTCTTTTCTTTTCTTTTCTCTTTCCTCGCGTAATCCCTCGTGGCCAAAAAAGAAAGAAAGAAAGGAAGAAAGAAAGAAACGAAACGAAACGAAACGAACGATCAACCGATCCTTGCCTCGCTTTGATATGGTCCGATCACGATAAGCCGTTTGTTCGTTCCTTCATCGAGGATTTGAATTATCTAGCACGCGCGCGCGTTTACTACGAGAGCTACATGTGTACACAACGGTGTCGGTAAAAAAAGCTACTGGCCGTATGCGCGACAAGTGTCGAGAAACGAAGGAAAGCACGTGTTTCTTTTTTTTTCTTTTTTCACTTTTACATATATGGTCCGCTCTCTTTTTATTTTTATTTTTCATTCTTATTCTTGCTCTTGTTCTTGTTCTTGTTCCTTGCTCTTGCTCTTATTCTCTCGTCAATCGTTCGTTCGTTTGTTCGTTCGTTCGTTTGACCATAGTCAGGAAAAAGAGTCCGCACGTTCTCCGGGTGCATCCTTATCCTTTCGTTCACGGATCGAAGATCACCGGCTCGCCTCAAAGGGTCGACGGTCGACGATAGTGTGCGAAGTTTGTACCTTCTGGCGGTCGAGCTGATTTTCTCCCCTTTATCTTCTCCTCCACCTCCTCCTCCTCCTCCTTTTCCCTTTACTCCCAAAACGATGATCGTACGAGCACGAATTTCTCCCGACGGAGAATGAGTAAAAGCAAGAGGGTGGGAGTGAGTGAGTGAGTGAGAGAGAGAGAGAGAGAGAGAAGAAGACTTGGCAAGACCTATCGACCGAAGCAGTCAAAGCCAGTGAATCGATTCTTTCTTCCTCTTCTCCGTCCCACGTCTCCTTCCTCTTTCACCAACGGCAGAGCAGCACCCTGTACTTCTTCCTCTTCCTCCTTTTCTTCTTCATTCTCCTCCTCCCATCCTCCATCTTTTTCCATTGGCCTCGACGTTCGAACGATCGTAGCCGTTGCTTCGTGCCAGAGGCGGTCTCTCTCTTTCTTCTTCTTCTTCTTCTTCTTCCTCTGTCTTCTTTTCCTTTTTTTTTTTCACTTCGTCGCTCGGCATCCTCGTCGATAAAACATTTTCCCACGAAGGTCGTTCAACGCTTTTTTCGAAAATAGTCGCTCGTCGTCGTCGTCTTCGTCGTCGTCGTCTTCGTCGTCGTCGTCGTCGTCGCCATCGTCGTCGTCTTCGTCGTCTTCGTCTTCGTCTTTTCGATTAGAATCACCTAAATATTACGACTACCCCCGTCAGCAGGAGTATCGTCAGGTACGTCGCTCGATGCATCTGCCCCTTGTTCTCCTCCATACACTGACCTGCGACAACATCAATCGATACTTTCACTATTATGTACGTTAAATTGTTCGACGAATGAAATCTTGATTAGGTTCGAAATGCTTAAATTAAATGAACATCGTAAACATCTTCGTTTTTTCGAAGAAGATGAAGGATTAGAATCCTTAATGTAGAGAGAGTGACTCGCGCTTACCGGTGCTGGTCGCATTGAAGGCCAACATCGGTGGGGGTGGAGGAATACCTCTTTGACACGCCACCGGGCTGGAAGTCAAACTAACAACCCCACCGCTCTCTTTGTACATGAAACACAATCTTTGGGTGTTCCTGTAGGGCTGCGGCCTGTTGTTATCGTTAGACCACGTTGTTTTGCGCTCAAGTGGGGTTGCGATCACGAACTGAGTACCCTCTGCGTCGATCCACCTTCCATGGCAGGAGTAAGCTTGAAAGCAGAAAAGACGATTGCTTTAGAATAGAGGGACAAGTGTCAAATCATAGAAAGAGGGGTACAGAGAGAGAGAGAGAGAGTACGTTGGGAACTTTTGGGTTAATATAGGGTGACTTTTCGGGGACAGTCGTTACCCTTCGAGCACCATTATCCCTTGATGAAACTTTACCGATTGCAAGGGTTCAACGAGCATAATACAGTGCTTTGGTAAATTAAGAGAGGACCCTACATAATTTTTAAGTACCTTCTCTCTCTCCCCCTCCCCACACTTTCCAAAGTTCTACACCAATTGTGATCGATCCTATTGCAAAAAGGATGCTCATTCCTTCTCTTTTTTTTTTTTTCTTTCTTTCAGTAATCTATTACGTGTATGGAATTAATCGATGAATTATAAATGGATTATTTATTGTCGAATAATAAGTAAGTAAGTAAGTAAGTAATAGTATTTACCGTAAACTGTGTTGTCATTCACGCAATCTCTTTGAAGTTCCATTCTGTCTGCGGTTGAACATCCAACGGTGAGAGTTGTGATCTCAGCGTTGCACTTTGATTCGACCTCTTCTCTTTTCTCCCGGGTTTCGCTCGTAACTTCCTCTTCGGTTACAAGATTTTCGAGGTCTCGTCGCATCCTCGTGAGATCCGTAAAGGACATGCTCTTGTAAGATCGAACGTCTTGGGATGATGATGATGATGATGATCTCTTCTTCGGTGCATTCTTGGTATCAGGGTAATCCCCAAAGTATTCGTCGTCGTCCACTTCTAATATGGCGGACGTTCCCACGTCGTCAATGTTCGGCATCCAGAATTGTTTCATATCAGCAAACCCGGTAAAGTCTTCGGAGTTATCAACTATTTTGGAATTTCTTTTAGTTCTGCTAGAACCGTCAGAATTATTTTCGTCTTTATTAAGTTCGTCCGATATTTTTTCTCGTTTTTTCGCTTTCAAATGCGAACCGTGTTCCCGATGAACTGCGCTCTCTTGTTGTTGTTCCGGAATTAATCTCGAGGAAGATGACGACTCCTGTTGATCTCTGTGACTTCTGTTATTACGATTCGATCTAGCTCGTCTACCCATTCGTTCACGCACGAGATATTCATTGTTCGCTCGTCTCTTCTCAAGCTCGAAATCGATCTTGCTTCGACCACGACGATCCTCGACTATTCGTTCTTGAGCGTGTCTAACCTTTTCACCATCGTGTCTGCTTGTCAGTGACTCTTGATGTTGATTCCTCCGACTTTCGCGAGTGTTCCTCTGATTATGGTTAACTCCGGTTACCGTGAATTTACCCAGATAAGGACACTGACGTAGTTCCGGTGAACTCGCTGAAACAGACAAAGTCCCTTTTTTAATCCTTTCAATCTACAACATGCAAAGATTTTCTTTGTTTCTTTTTCTTTTTTTTTTCAACTATGTAACACGGGTAACGTATGTATGATCAGATTAACTAAATTGGGAGAAATTCTCTTTTCATACTCGGTGTACGAGTAGACGGACGGTCTTTTGTAGAATAAAGAGTACTGACATTTTTTTTTTAACATATAACATTTACAGAGATAAATGGTACGCTTGGGCATGTATATTCCATAGAATATATCTACCGAAGATAAGTTTGCATTAAAAAGCCAGAGAGAATAACAGAGAATAAGAGAGAATACAAGGAAATAAGAAGGAATATTATAGTTAATTCCTTTTGTGATCCTTGGAATGATCTCTCCATCGTCTCAACATTGACGACAACAAAATTATTCGTTGTAGGTATAACGATGAGGACGCGATTTTGAGTTTATTTGGCAAAACATGCGTACACACGTATAATACATATGTAACAGAGAGTTGACGCGATGGGACGTTTAACTCAGATTACATGCAGCTCGTGTCATCAAAGAAAAAGGACGCTCTACCTGAGAGAGGTTAATGCGATAGATGCTACTAATTGCTGACAAATGCGGAAGACATATTGTTGGTCTTAATGGAACCTCGTTAGGTACTAAGAAATACAAAAATGGCCAAGGATTAGGAAAATGGTTGAAGTAAGAGAAGAATGCGAATAGTTATAACGAGGGAGACTCAGGCGTCAGAGAGAGAGAAAGAGAGAAAGAGAAAGAGAGAAGAGAAAGCGTAAATCGGCCGTAGGCAGACACAATGTGAACTCTAACGAGACAAATCTGACGACGCACCCTCCGGTCAAATCATCACCTCATCCTTTTCCTTCCCATTAAGACGGGTTCCTGGGGGCTACTAACTTGGAAAGTTTGCGGTGAAATTTTACATCCGCTATACTCCTCCGTGATATTTCTCAAAGAAAGGGACTGACTATCTACCGTCACACGATTACTATATATATAAACCTTCGTTCACTACTTCGTTCTCCCTTGCCATTGACTGTTACTAGGGATGATAATTTCAAGGATTCCTATCCATCCCATAATACGTAGAATCGTTTGAGCGTGTTATATCTTTCGTTATATATACGTCCCATGTACTTGTCGGGGGGAGGGCCGGGTTGGGTCACGTTTCGGTGAATATTTTTAATGCACCATTCACAATGACAAAGAAAAGATTCGTTTGGTCTATGATCTACTTCGGAAAGACGAATAAAAATTGTATGCTTTGTTACGAAGTAATGCAAAGGATTTTCTTGTTCTCTTCCTCTCTTTTCTTCCTATTGTGATTACGTACCGTGACTTTGTTTCGAAAAGGTCTTTTTAAAATACGCGACTTGTCTTTTCTTTCTCTCTCTCTTTCTCTCTCTCTCTCTCTTTCTCTCTTACCTTTCGTCTTTCGTTTTCTCTACAAATCGTAAATCGATTTGGACGTAGCTTCACGGGACGTGCCCGCAAAAATCTCGTTATTTTTATGGTTAATTAGACACGCATTACGATGGGCCAAAGGCGAGGCCGTGCTCGCCAAAGGAGACTTGATTTTTCCGACTCGTTAGGCGATTGCCAGTAGCACGAAGGTCCTGTCAAAGGGACCGAAGAATGAGGGTGAGTTTCCCGGTGAAGGGAGCCCACCCTTCTTCGATTGGCCCTTCTTTGTGTGCGATTGGTAGGACAAATCGGAGACTCGTCCCTTGAATCGTTAATTATTTTCATCGCGAGAAAATTTTGAATAGCATTATTAGATAGACACTGTGTAAAAGTATCTTTCTTTTTAAATGTAACAAGCAAAATAAAATCGATGTATTATACCGTTATTCTTGAAATCCACCGTCATCTATGCAAGTTAATTCTCAAATCTCTCTTATATATATAATCAAACTGATTAAATTTGTAATTTATTTAATTTCTATAGCAATGTATTTATTTTCACATTTTTTTCATCCTTCAATACACTATATTTATCTATGAATTTCAAGAAAAAAATGTAATAAGCGTAACGGTGTACGATTTTTACGATCAACTCTCTGTATAGATATATTAATCAATTGATTATTTTCCAGATGATAATACGAGTTACAGTTTTATCGCGTCTGAAATAGTATTTTTTTTTTTACGCATATTCAATATATTATTTATTCATTATTTTGAATAATATTAATTTTATTGTAAAGAAAAACGCTTGAGATTATTCTCATAGATATTTCGTGTAAATGATGAAATCATTGAAACACGCATGCTTGGCGCTCGTATATGTGTTTACGTAGTCATGTATAGAACGAGCTTGAGAAAGAAAAATAAAATGGTTGCCCCTGCACATTTTTGTCTCATTTACGCACGAAAAGAGTAACTCCTTTTTGTAGATTGTACATTTTATATTTCGGACACTTTTTCTTTGGAAAAGATATACGCATACATATCTACGAATACATAAACACGAGTTGCACATAAAATGCGCAATTATTTTGCTCGCGAGTGTCGATATTGTCGTACGGTTGGTCTGCGACATTTTACTTTTGCTTCTTTGTTCGGGTCATCCGGAAATAACGTCTCGATTCTCGTCAGAGCGATAAATTTTCAACGGAAATAACTTTTGGCACGGAGACCGAGAGAGAGAGAGAGAGAGAGAGAGAGAGAGAGAGAGAGGTTTGTTGTTGGGGTGTTCGTTCGTTCGTTCGTTCATTCGGTCGTACGTCGAAACAGGAACACGTACGTTTCACCAAAAGCAATGGCGAGAAGTGAATTTTTATTTTTAATTATTTTTCTTCTAGATAGATGATTTTGATGGGTTTTTAAAAAGGGTCGAGAAACGTTGGTAAATTAGAGCGTAGGTCAGAAAGATTTTTCATCCTCTTGCTGGACTCTCAAATTCGATAGAAATGCGTATATGCGCGCGTGTTAAAACAAATGAATTAAGAAAATAATTATTCAACAAGAATAAAATAGTAGGATATCCTATCTCCCCAAGTACGCTTTCACAATTTCCAATCCAATGAAAATAATTCAATATAAATTTTCTAATAATTTCATGAATGATGAAATGTGATATTAATGTGATAGTAATCTTTCTAAAAGCATTGACAGAATGCAATTGGAGTATTTTCCTTCGCTACATATATTACGATCGATAATTAGTCAGAGATTTGAGTATATATCGGTAAAATTTGGTAATTTATAGTTCTCGTCAAAGAGAATCGCGGTTGGTCTTGATTAACGATCTACACCACAGGAAAATACAAACGAGAGATAGAGATAGAAAATGCTTGTCTATCTATAAGCGACGATGACAACTCGCGTAATTAAGCCTATAACGGATTGTTTATTATTGGCCGGACAATGTCCAACCCTGTTTTCGGCAAATATAGTTATCTATTTAATTTTCTACCGCGAATATCGACCCATTAGCTATAGTTCGATGTGTCGTGTACCGCCGCGTGGTCCAGGAGCTAACAACTTCGAAAACGTAATCGGTTAATTAGTATGCGTTACTATTTGATTAGCTTTCTCTTCCTTTCTCCCTCGATCCCCCCCCTTCCATCCAGCTCTCTTTCTCTCTTCCCTTTCCTCTCTTTTTCTCTCCCAATTCGAATATTTTTGAATACATAATCAATTGTTATTCCACCGATAATTCGCTATGTATGTTCATCGTACTCGTATCTACTTTGGGATTATTCGCATAACGTATGATCTAATTTATTTTGATAAATTAAAATGATAATTATGTTTTCCAATGATAACGATAAATACTATATAGAATATTCATTCTTTATATTACTGTGGAACCTCCAATATCTCTTTTACTATTCACATGTTCGAAACACTGTCTATAAAACGTTGTTGCTTGTGTCATCAGTTATATGCATTAGTGTAAGACAAAAACAGCTATGTATGATTCGAAAATTAAGTGATATCGGGTAAATGAAGTTTTTAGCATTCCTGAAGTTATGACCATATATTTTGAAACATTCTATACGTATATAAATGTAAACGTGATAATAATAAAAAGAAATATATAGGAACTCTCGTTTAGAAGCCTCAACGGGGTTTAAAAGTGGAAGTGAGTAATGGATAGCGTGGGATTATCGGGGACGTTATCAGAGGGTCAGGAGAGAGGGTGGCGAGAGGGTGGCGAAAGGAGGGTCTCGACAAGGCGAGCCGAGTCTAAAGGCCACGGAGTCAGGTGACCCGTGTCAAGTTCAAAGACGCGAACGTTCTAACCCTACCAACGTTTAATCCACCTACGCGAGAAGATACCAAGGAAACTGCTCTCCATGATCGATCGTCTATGAAACTCCGAGTTTTTATAACCTTTACATGGATTACATAATTTTTTATTTCACTTCCATTAAACTTTTCCCATTAAAAACAAATAAATCGACTTATGTTCGTGCATAATATGTATTAGGTCCTTGGATAATTTCTATCCTATTTTACATTTTTTTTTTTATTAAATCATCAGAATTTTCCCAAAAGACATTTATTTCATTTATTATATATATTATTCTAAAAAAATCTTCTCAGAGATTATAGATCAGAAAATAATATGATAGAAATTATTCAAGGAAAAAACCATACGATTCCATTGAAAACAAAACAATTGATGATTCTTTATATTATGATGTCACAGACTATGGTTTTGAGTTTCATGCAAAAGTCAAGTATCGTTTGCGGGATGGCAAATTGATCGATAAAAAAAAAAAACTTTGTCTCGGACTATAAATTAAAAAGTGTTCTGGTATTGAATATATAGAGTTAGTTCTTCTTTCAAGTAGTAAAAGACAGATGAGTCGAGGGAAAAGGCAGGTAGTAGTGGGTACCTCGCGTGTTCGCGAACGAAGAAAGAAAGAGAGAGAGAGAGGAGAGACGAGAGACTTTGCTTTTAACGAACTCTGTTCGCTCGGTTTCCTCGCAATCCATTGGGAACTCGAATCAATCATTTTCAA